TATGGCCTAAAACAGTCTCCTAGGGCTTGGTTTGGAAAGTTTAGCAAGGTTGTTCAACAATTTGGTATGACTCGGTGTGAATCGGATCATTCTGTCTTTTATCGACACTCGAGTGCTTGGATGTGTTTACTTGATAGTATATGTTGATGATATTGTTCTTACAGGTAGTGACAACCATGGCATCTCTCGGTTGAAACAACATCTTTGTCACCATTTTCGGACCAAAGATCTTGGCAAACTTAGATATTTCTTGGGTATTGAGGTAGCACGATCCAATGATGGTATTGTTATATCTCGGAGGAAGTATGCCATAGATATTTTGGAAGAAAGCTGGGTTGATGAGTTCAAAGTCCGTTGATACACCCATGGATCCCAATACTAAACTTCTACCAAATCGGGGGAGCCTATATCGATCCTCGAGCAAGTATAGAAGATTGGTTGGAAAATTGAATTATCTTACGAGTTACTCGTCCCGACATTTCCTTTGCGATCGGTGTGGTAAGTCAATTTCTTAATTCACCATGTGAAGATCATTGGAATGCGATCATTCGTATCTTGAAGTATATTAAAGGATCTCCTGGAAAATGATTGTTATATGCTTCTAATAACCATACAAGAGTTGTTTGCTACTCGGATGCTGATTAGGCGGGATCTCCTTCGGATAGAAGATCTACATCCGGATATTGTGTCTCCATTGGTGGTAACTTGATTTCATGGAAAAGTAAGAAACAAAGTGTTGTGGCAAGATCCAGTGCGAAGCGAATATAGAGCTATGGCCTCAGACTTCCTGTGAACTTGTTTGACTCAAGCAATTGCTTAGAGAGTTACAATTTGGAGATGTCACTCAAATGACACTTGTGTGTGACAATCAGTCGCTCTTCATATTAGTTCTAATCCTGTCTTTCATGAGAGGACCAAACACATTGAGATTGACTTGTCATTTTATTCGAGAAAAGATTATGTCCGGAGATATCAAGACCGAGTTTGTTAACTCAAGTGATCAGTTAGCGAGATATTTTTACTAAATCTTTACGGGGTCCTAGAATTGATTATATTTGTAACAAGCTTGGCACATACGATTTGTATGCTCCGAGCTTGAGGGGAGTGTTAGATATTGTTTATATATTATTTGATATTGTTAAGATATTGTTAGATATTGGTAACCACAATATCAAACAATATCTTCTGTTTATTCTGTTACTTTCGGTTACTCTTTTAGTTGTATTTCTCTACTATAAATAGACCACCCTATGTGTGATTTATACACAAGGGAAATTAATTCCAAACTATATTTTCTTTATATTCAACGGATATATTAACAATTAAAAAAAATTTAAACAATTTATTATAACTACCCAATAAAAAAATTACTTCAAACAAATAATACTTTATTTAAACATTTCAATCATCCATTCCCATTTGAAACGCTATTAATTTTATTAAATAACTTCCTTTCAAAGTATTCTTAAAACAAAATTAAGTGTACACTCTTTAATAATGTGGCACATTAGAGACAATAAATTGCAATTTTTACTGTATAAACCTTTCATTAAAAATGACCTTAAAATAAGATAAGAATAAAATAAATTTAAATTATATCAAAGACACAACAATAAATAACCGATAATAATTAATTATGATATAATAATAATATATTATAATAATAATAGTAAAATAAGATAATAATAATAATAAATTAATAATTCAATACATAAACAAATAAATAATAAAATAAATGAAGTATTGGATTAATAAATTAAAAAAAATTAAAATTACGATGTTATAATCATGTTACACATCTTAATATTTACATAAATTTTTTTAAAATATGCTAATAAGTTTATATATTAATAATTTATATTAAGTTAATAAATTAATAAGTTATTAAATTAATAATTTGATAAGTTTATAAGCTAATAAGTTAAAAGATTTAAGTTAATAAGTGAATAAATTAAAATTTAACTTAATAAGCTAATAAATTAATAAATTGAAGTTAGTAAATTTAATTAATTAATAATTTAATAAATTAATAAGTTGATAAATTAATAAATTTAAGTTAATAAGTTAATAAATTGGTAAATTAATAATTTAATGAGTTAATAGATTAATAAATTAATAATTAGTAAGTTAACAAATTGATAGATGGTGAAGAAGGTGATTATGTATAGCAAATTTGTTGTTATTTCATGTCATGAAACATTGAAAAACCTTTTATAAGTTTTACAAACCATTAAAGACCGTGTTTAAAAACAAGACAAAGAAAATTAAAAATAAGGTGTATCACAAGAATAACATATTTACTTTTATATTTATTGTTATAGAAGATTGTTCATTCGATAAACTGCTACGTTTCTTTTCTTTTCTTTTCTCTGAAGACTTTAATTTCTTCATCCATGGAACACATTTGAAGTATCAGTTCCTGCTCCTACAATCAACTTCACAATAATCAATAATTTATTTACTATTTCCCCTCATTATAACGTAAAGGTATAACTAATAAAAAGATAATTAATATAATATTAAATTATATAGATAATTGATTAATAAAAATATTTTTTTATAAAAAATGATAGCGTATAAATTAAGAAGTTAAATTTTATAGCATGAAAGAAAAAAATTGTGAATATTTTTATGTTTATATGGCTATCAAAGATTTGACAAAACAATTAACAACTCGAAGTAGGTTGAGATGTTTTTAACGAATATATATATATATATATATATATATATATATATATATATATATAATTAGAATCATTTTTAAAATAAAAATAGAATAAACAATTATAAAAATTAGATTAAAATAAAAAATAATAATAATAAACTGAATTTAACATTCAATAAAAAAAATATGTCTTTCCTCTTTTTTATCTTCCCTTCTTCTGTGTCAATTACACACATTCTCATTCTTTAGGTCATGATAACTAAATAAAATTAGATATTCAATTTAAATTTTTTAACTTAATAACGATTAGTTTTTTTTTACTCATAAATTGAGAAAAGAAGAAGATTATAAAAATAAGATAACCCAGGAAAATTGCAATAAGGTTATAATTTTCAAAATGTATATGAGAATAATGGCTCATAAATTTGGATGAAAAAAATGGGAAAAAAAAGGAAGAAGAAAAAACAGGTGAAGAAATATAGGGTTTAATTTTAATTAGATTTTCCATCTCAATTCTTGATTATTTTTAATCTTAATTTAATGGTTATAATTGTTTGTTTTAAATTCTTCAAGTTATTTCCATCTAAAATGTTTATATATATAAGATCTATTTAATTGTAAATGTACAGTTTTCCTATGGATGGAAAAAAGATATTTGAGTTTCTCAAATTTAGTGCTTTGTGATTAAAACGTATTTTTAAAAAAATTAGAGATTAAAAATAACTAAAATTTGCTCCATCGAACTATATTTATAAAAAAATTTCAAAAACTAAAAACCTAAAAATTAAGTTATTTTCTTTTTTCACAATATATATATATGTTTGTAAAATTTATATAATATTTACCAACATGTATTATATCTATTAAAAATATTTAGAGTTATAATGTGTAAAAATGCTTAAATTATGTCTTACATGTTCAAATTATAGAATATCAAAGGTTAAACTACGTAATTAATGGCCAAATTGTTTGAAGTTTTGAGATGAAATTGGTCCCTGAATTAAAAAATATAGATTCCTAGAGTTAGCTTAAAATCATCAAAAAATAAAATGTCTTCAATGAAAATAAATGATTTCGAGTCAAACTCAATTAATTCAGTTTAATCCAGTGCCCTTACCAGCAAGGAATCCGAATTCAAACATCGTGGCATGATTAGGGGTAAGAAAAATAAATATTATTTAATCGTATATTTTCTAATACTTATACAAAGTAATTAAAATAATGAATTTTAACAAATAAAAAAAAATATAAAATTATATTAAGGATACAGAAAATTTATTTTTTGTTTATGAGATGTTAAATACGTAAATTTACTTTTTTTCCTTAATTTATCGGTACTTTTCTGTCAAGGAATAATATTTCAATAAAAAATTATAAGGAAATTAGAATAAATTATAATTTTTAAAACCCTTACTATCTATTTAAAATATATATTTTTATTATTACATTAACTCGATTATGTTTTTTTGTCAATAAGAATTAGCTATAAAAATTGGGTTAGGTTTATACGTATTTGAAATTTTAATATATCTTCACATTCCTGTCAGATTTTATTGGGTTAGATAAACTCGTGAATAACTTGTTACACCAATTTTTATAATTTTGATTTATGCATATATTTTAAATAATTTGTTTTGTTAATAATATTTAAACTCAAATGATATATGAAATAGAAATATATGAAATAAAAGCTAAAATTGTATTTTTAATCGAGTTTATAGTTTAAATTTATTATTTTATAATTTAAATGAATTAACAGTTAAAATAATTAAATTCCATTTTTAAATTTATAAAAATAAAATATAAGCATAATTGTTTTCTTTCTATATATAGATAGACATGATGTAAAAATTATATATATATATATATATATATATATATATATATATATATATATATATATATATATATATATATATATATATATATATATATATATATATATAAGTAACGGTTAAAATGTACGAGTTAGGTAAGATTCTGCCCGATTAAAAAATAGTATTAGAAAAAAATTATGATTAATTTAAAAAAAAAGATGATATCATAACCTATTTTAACAAAAATACTCTATACACAGGCTATAATAATAATATAATAATATTATTATACCAGGTTATATATAATAGGTATTTTTTTTAAAGAGGTTATGAATATATAATCATCAGATTTTAGTAACAGTAGGGAAGTTATAGTTGGAGTTAGGTAAGCAATAATTATTGTATCACTAAAAATGGTTTAAGTGAAGGCCTTTGGTTGTATAGGGTTCAGGGTTGTATAAATAGGTGGTGAGAAAGGGTGGATTCCATGATCCAAAGTGGAAAGAGATAGTGAGAGCATGAGAATGATGGGAAGCAGAGTGTTTGCAATAATGGTGGTGGTTGCTGGGATGTTATTGCTGGGGAACCTGCCAGAGGCTTCAGCAGAATGCGGAGTTAATTTCAGTGTGCTTTATGCGGAGTGTAGGAACTCCTTCCAAGATGATGGGCCACCGCCATCGACCCAGTGCTGCGATCAATTGCGAAAAGTAGACCAGGAGTGCGCCAGAGCTTATGTTGATGGTAGGCCTGGCATTGAACAACGGAGCGGAATCGACTTCGACCGAGCTGTCGCTGTCACTAGGGCTTGTGGAATCAACATTCCTCCTTATCCTGCACCCGCGCCTTCTCCTCAGTCCGGGGACTGAACGTCAACATTCAGGACGATAATGCATATAATAAATAAGCCTCCACTGCATGCGTCAATTCATATTTTCTTGCTTTAAATTTAACTCGTTATTGTTAGACACTCGGTTAGTTCAATGTTAATTGAGACACCAGTGCCTAAACTATAAAACATTATTCATACGATAAACTGCTACATTTCTTGATTCAGCGTACATCTATTTACGAAGAATAAAAAACAAACTACTAGGATATTGATGGTAAGTTATCAATCCATCCATCTTCATCGATAAAAGATGCGTAAGAAAATTGTTCCAACTCTGAAGTACTTAAACTCTGGTCCTTTACAGTCAACTTCAGCATAAGTGGTCCTACTCCTTCAACAGTTTAGTCACAAATTAATCAAAAATGGAAACGAAATGCTTCAAATATAAAATAACGCTACAAACCCAACAAATACTCCTTTGTAATTCGGAAAGATTGGTCTATATAAACATACTCATTGGCAGCAGCATTCCAAGCATCCCATCCTTGAGGAGTTATAATGGAGGGAAAATATGTTTTCTCTAAAAATGACTCTGGAGTATGGTCTCCATGCTCTTCCTAAATTCACTTTACCGTTCCCTGTAATGGAACCCCCTTCAAACACAAAACCACCTGGGTCATCTGCTGAGTCTCGTCCTTGAGCTGTCACAAAGCCTGGTAAATTTGGATATCTCCCCAAAGCATTTATCCAACAGTTCTACAAGTCACAAACATTAATGTTTTATCTTGTTTTGAAAATGGATTTAAGATATAATTAGTGTAATTTACCCCATAATAAGATTGTGGGGCACCATATATGAAGTCGACTTCACCCTGAATGTGATAATCTTTAAAATAATGACGTCCCAGAGCATCAAATAAAGTGTCTTGATAACCTACAAAACTACAATTATAGAAGAAAGATTTGTCTCCCTGTATTCTTGCTGCATTTCCTTGTTCAATTTATATATTTTTTTCGCCGCCACATTATATGAGTTTTGTAGAAACATTACAATACATTACAGACAAAGAACATTGAAGAACTATCAATGGTTGTTCTATCATTTATTTATATATTCACCTTGAAAGTAATGCCACTTGCAACCACATTGGGGTTACTATTAGAGTTTTGGAGCACATAATCAATCTCTTTATTAATTTATCAACTCACTTTACAATGAATAAGAAATTAGCATATAAAGGCTAAATTTGTAAAAAAAAGAAAAAAAAAATAAACGCATAACAAATAACTATTTATACAACATAATCATCTAACCATTGAGTTATCTCTAATATCCCCTCTGAGATGGGTTGTGAATATTCAGAAGACCCATCTTGAACGTGTTAGTAGTGAAAGGTGTAAGAAACAAAGTTTTGGTGAACACATTCTAAAGTTGGTGTTGAGAGAGAATATGAAATAAAAGAATCAACCCATCGAGAATTTTGCTACGTATGAAGTGACAATCCACTTCTATATGTTTGTTCTTTTATGAAAGGAAGAATTTTTGGCAAGTAGGATGACATATTGGTTATCAGAGAAAGCGCAGACAGGGAGAGGAATGGTAAGTCGAAGATCATCAACAACATACTTCAGCCATTATAATTCACAAGCCACAGTGGCTAATGCCCGATATATTTTTTTACTTATTTGTTGGACAACAAAGTTGATGTCTGGACGGGTGTGTGTCAAGTACCACAACTTGCCAATGAGTCTTCTAAAATTGGTGGGATCAGGGATGAGTTCACCTTCATTATCAATGAGCTTAACTGAAGGGTGATTGGAGAATTCAGTGGCTTGTACCCAGTAAGTCCAAATTCTGAAAGAATATCCAAACAATATTTGTGTTGATTAAGGATTAAGCCACGTTTGGATCGGGTCACTACAAAGTCCAAAAAATACTTCAAATCGCCAAGATCCTTGATATGAAATTGCGTGTGAAGATATGTTTTGATGTCAATGATCATGCTAAGATAATTCCCAGTAATAACTATGTCATCAACATAGACTAGGAGGGTTGTGAAAGAACTAGTTGCGTGTTTGACAAATAAAGAGTAATCTGCTGTATTATGAACAAAACCAAAGTTGAGTAGAGCAGATGTGAACTTGACATTCCATTGCCTACTTGCTTGTTGAATATAGAGGAAATATGGTTCGAGATAATCTCCCTTGTGTATAAACCACACATAGGGTAATCTATTTATAATAGAGAGAGGTACAACTAAAAGAGTAACCGAAAGTAAACAAAATAAATAGAAGATATTATTTGATATTATGGTTAAAAATATGTAACAATATCTAAACAATATCTAACACTTGTCTTAACCCATATAGAGATTTGTGGAGTTTGCACACAAGTTTAGGAGAAGCAAGAGGTAGTTCTTGTGGGGGTTTCATGTAGATTTCTTCAACAAGATCACCATATAAGAAGACATTGTTGACATCAAGTTGATGAAGAAACTAGCTAGAGGAAACAACAAGGGAGAGTAGAAACCGAACAATAGTAATCTTAACTATGGGAGAAAATGTTTCAAAAAAATATACCCCCTGTATTTGTGTAAAGCCCTTGGCAACCAATCTGGCCTTCTATCAATGGAACCATCCGCTTTAAATTTGGTTCAGTAAACCCATTTACAACCGACAACTTTCTTGCCTGGAGGAAGATTAACTAGTGACCATATGTTGTTTCTCTTTAGAGCTTGAAGTTCAGTCATCATAGCTTTCTGTCAGCAGTCTAATTGGATTACCTCCTTGAAGGTGGTAGGATCAATAGTACTAGAGAGAGACAAACAAAAAATAGCTTGAGAAGGAGAATAATTAACATATGAAAGATAAGAATGTAGGGGATAAGGAGTGCTACAAGTGGAATTCGAAGATGCAATAGTAGGACAATGGTATTCAACCCAATATGAATGTGGCCTCTTTGTTTGTGTTGAAACTTTTAGGACAGATTCAACGATATGTGGGGATTCATGGGAAAGAGAGTCAACGTTAGGTAAAGATGTATCATGATTATGCATGTTATTGCATTAGAAGAATGCATTGTGGAATTATGTAATGATATGAGGTCATCAAAAAAGGTGGTGCAGGTGCTGTCAAAGGGGGCGATGGGTGAATGTTCTTTAGATCGAAAATGATATTCATAGAAAATGACATTGTGTGATATAGAAAAAGACTTGTTGATAATGTGTTGAATTATTGGTAAGCGTACCAAATTTATCAATTGCAATATAGTATTTTGATTAAATAAAAGTTGATCCCGCGAGGAACAATTTCAATGAAAATTCCCAATTATGCTTACTAAGTATATTAAAACAGAATGGATTTTGCATAAATAGTTGAATTGAAATTAAATGAAAAAGAACTATAAATTGTTGAGAAAATATCAATTAAAGGTACTTAGGATTGACTTCCTTCCTTATCCCTATTTTGTAATGACTATGTTAATTAAGAACGTCAATTAACCTAACAATGTTGATGTTACCTACTCAAATCATCCATGTTGATTCCTCACACATGAAATTCATAAGAAAACCTAATAAATGTTGATTCCTCACACAATTAAGAGATTTTCCAGCATTAGGGTTAGGGTGTTAAGCAATTGATACATTCATTCCATTCCTGACAATTAATGTAACAAATATTTTTACTGTGATCTAGGGTTTAAGATATACTTTCCAATCATACTCCAAACATCAAGAATAAATCATTCCAAAGCATAAAGGATAAGAATAACTACATCAAAACATAGATTAATATCTTAAAATATCACCATGATACAAAAGAGTTCAAAGGAAGTGCACCGAATCCTAAGAGAATGAAGTTAGTCACTCATGTTGGCCATTACAATGCTCTAATTGATGAAGAAGTGAAGAATTGATGAAGATTAGACGAAACCCTAACAGTAGTCGTGCCTCCTCTTCTCCATGACTGCCTCATTTTCTCAAAACACAACTTATCTTTTTATAAGAGAATTTGGGTCGGACCTTGCATCATTCATTCGCTTAAGCGTTCTTCTTTCTTTTAATTTTACTTCAATTATGCTGACAATTATGCTCCTCACTCTTGTATCAAGGTATTCTTGGATTCATCCTATATTAGGAGAAAAATAGATTAGAATTAACATAAGTTAAGTGGTTTCGTAACAGTTCAAGGCATAATTATATCAACTTTTTACCACTTAGCAACTCCCCCAACCTAGAATCTTGTTTGTCCTAAGCAAAATAGTTTTTCCAAAACAAAATCATCGTCTATTATCACTTTCTCTTCCAGAACCACAACATAGAAATTTTCAGAGATGATGCTCACAACTCCAAATGAAAATAAAACACATAAGCATTCAAGTTATAGAAACCAATAAGGAATAAATTAGTCATCAACTATCCTCAGAGAAGCATGATATCTCAAAAAGAGTTATATATACTCATCTCTAATTCTCACAGGTAGGTGTTTATCTCATTCAATCACTTTATTTAGACAATCCAATATTGATAATCATCTTCAAACAATCAACATTTGTTAAGCAAGATTTAAATAAAAAGGTCTTTTGAGGCTTGTAATGGGGCTGAGCTAAGAAAGAATTATTGGTTTTTCTGGGATAAACAAAAATATTTAAGAAATTCAACTCATATGAATGATTCTTGATTAACAATTTCTCAAGCCAGGTTTCAAACTTCATGCTTTTGACCCTATCATAATGATAGTGAGTTAATGATCTCACAAGTTATTATTTCCCCCTTTTGACTTTTTTTTTCTCATACTTTTACATGTATCCTTTTTGGCTTTGCCATAATTTTTAAACTTTGCTTTTTCTTTTCCTTTACACCTTTTTTTTTAATAACACCCCAATAATACCTGTAAGACAACAAGCAATACCCAACAATAGGAAAAATAATGACATTCATACTCATTTCCTTTCTCAAATATAAGAAGGTAGATAAATAATGTTTAAGTTTAAGGGTTGTGTTTAAGAAACAATATTATTTTTTGCTCAGAAGGGGTTCAAATGGATGTCCTATAATTAATGCATGGTTGGTTATTTGGCTCTGGGTTATATCTACTACAAAGAAAAAAATGTCTTTATCATTTTCAAGTCTTGCCAACATGTAATCACATCAAATAATCAACCAATATCAGTTATCATCACAAAGTGTTGACACTCAATTTATCTGTTTTTGGTACTCTACTCACCTGAGTTTTGGCTAGCTTCTCCAATTCAGTTAATTCCTAATTCTCCTCATCAATTCCTTTTCACTATCATACTCATCATACCAAAATCACTTGTTATTGGAAACAATCAAAATGATTTTTCACGTTCCAGATTTGAATTAGACAATAAGCAATAATCTCATATATGACTCTAAACAAATTATGGGACAGTAAGAGAATTTAAAATTTAAAATAAAGCAATTAAAAACATTAAATTAAAAACAAAGGAATTAAAAATATTAAAAACAAAGTCAGTTTCCTCCCTCATTTTCTTCACTTGTCATCTTCTCCTTATCTTGTGCCTCATCCTTAGCTGTAGACTTTCTCACCCCCACACGAAAAAGTTGGACTGTCCCTAGGCCATTGAAGTAAGATTTCAAAGTCTTAAGGAGAAGTTCACTGTATACCTGGAGCAATATTGCAAAGAAAGAACCTAAGGAAGAAAAATGCACAAAAAACTTAAACTGCAAAAAGAAAAAAAAAACAAATTCAAAACATTGGGTTGCCTCCCAGGAGCGCTTGTTTAACGTCTTCAGCTTGACGCTTATTTGCTTTAGGGTTCATGCAGGTGAGTGATCAAGGAAGGTGATGAATGAATTTATTCTTTTC